AAGCCCCTGAGGCCTGATTAGACCTAAGCCCCACCTGCTGGAACTCCACTCATAAAACCCTGCAGCAGCCCCACCCTAGTAGTGCATGGATCCGGTCTGTGCAGACAAGCTCTCCAACTGACAGTACTTCCCATCCCATACTACATCATACTGGGGAGAAGAGAAGCTGAGATTTATTTGAACCAGCTTCAGTCTTAGGCTACTTTAACTGGCAACTTAGTGAGAAACACAAAGAAGACAGGGATTTGTGATGCCTGGCCCTTGCTCTTGCTGTCAGAACATTGCCCAAGAAGAAATGGAAAGAAAGACAGTCAGGCAAAGTCAGTGTCTATCTATTCCCATTGACTATTTTGACCACTGCAGTAGAAATGATTCCTTAATTTTTTTATTAATAATCTTTCTAATTTTCTCTTTTTTTCTTTCTTTCTTTCTTTCTTTCTTTCTTTCTTTCTTTCTTTCTTTCTTTTGTTTTGCTGTGCTGATTGGTTCATGACCACATATACATATACATATGAGTTTCTTTTTTCCTCATTTTTAGCATTTTTAAAATATAGTTATTTTTCCTTGCCTTATCTTTTGAGGGTGAGGGATTTTGACTAGTATAATTTGGTTTTGTTTTATATTTTTTTATTTGTTTGTTTCTTGTTCCCTGTTTTCTTCTACTAACAGCCAAATTCTATTATTCTTTCTTTCATCCTCCCTTTACTTTGTTATTTCTACTTTTTCCCCCTTCCTTTTAATAATTACATGCTACATCTCGTCTGTATTCTCTCTGTTCACTTTTTGAAATTATTTTCTACTATCATTTTCTTTTAATTAACTGTATTCTTACCATCTTTTAGCACTCATTGATGTATGTAACTCCTTCCCCTACCATTAATGCTGTTGCAGTTATTACTGCTGTGGACAACATAGTTGAAAACTGTTGCTTTCTTGAATGCCATATATAGTTCATGGTTACTTATTGTTGTTGCAAATGGCAATTGCTGACCCTAGCATTTCTGGGTTTTGTGGCGATTAACATTGTAGATGTCATAATAGGAACTAAGTATTTAATTTTATATTCTATATTTTTTGCTTTGGTTGTTGCTATTCTTTGTTTCACTCATTCTGTGAGGTGCTGGGAAGCTACAAGAACACTACAATTTCACAGGGTAGAAACCCTGCTACTGAACTAAACCTCAACCAAAGGACAGCACACCTTGCTCCACACACAAATTAATGACTCAACCTTCAGTTGTACTTTAATACAAATAATAGAAGAGATTAAAAACCCAAGCTAATGACCAGGCTCCAAATGGAAACAGCTAGGGCTGGCTCCCAGGTCCCACCTATGGACATCCATTGCTACAGCAAAAACAAAGAGAAATAAAGGCTGTGTTCATCACACCTAAGAGGGGATCTCAATCCAGATTATTCTAGGACACTTTGGGAATTGAAGACTGTGCCCTACAAAAGTCCACACTTGACAGTGGAAGAGAAATCCTTTCCAAACAGAAATCCAGACAGGAATCTTGGAAATTAAAGACAAAATAAATCAAATAAAATATTCAGTTAAAAGTCTCTCTAATAGAGTAGACCATGCTGAAGACAGACTCTCAGACCTGGAATACAAAGTGGCTAGCGTTAAACATTCAGACAGTATTAAAAAAAAAAAGTCACCATTATAAGAATATACAAGATTTCTGGGGCAACATAAAGAGACCAAATTTAAGAATCACTGGAATTGAGGCAGGCTATGAGATACAGGCTAATGGAATGGATAAATTATTCAGGGAAATAATAACATAAAAGTGTCCAAACCTTCAGACTGAGATGGACATCCAGAACTCCAAGCAGAGAAGATCGAAAAAGAACCTCTCCGTAAGACATTTTAATTAAAATGCCTAACTTTACAGAACAAGGATAAAATTTTAAAAGCCTCAACATAAAAACATCAAGTCACATTTAGAGCCAACCCAATCAGAATCACTTTTGATTTCTCAACATAAACTCTACAAGCCAGGATGGTTTTGGAACAATGTATTCCAGGTCCTAAAAGAAAATAACTGTCAACCAAGATGGTTGTATTCATAAAAACTATCCTTCAAAATCAAAGAAAACTAGAAAACTTTCAAGATAAGCAGAAACTAAAAGAATTCATGACTACTAAACCAGCACACATAACTTACTTAAAATACTACACACAGAAGAAATTTTAAAAAATAAACCTCAAAGCTCACACAAGAAAAAAATCTCATTTGAAGAGTAGCTAAGCAAATTAGAAACAGGGCCAAATTAAATATGATAAATAAATCAAAATGGCAGGAGTCAATAAGCATCTCTCTCTAATAATGTTGAATGGAAATGGTCTTAACTCTCCAATTAAAAGACATAGATTGGAAGAATGTATAAAAAAAAAAAACAAGATACAACTATATGCTGCTTGCATGAAATGCACTTTACAGACAGCCACAAGCTGAAAGTGAAAGGATAGAAGTTGACGTACCATGTGAATAGAACCCCCCCCCAAAAGCAGAAGTAGTTACTTTCATATCTGACAGGAGATTTCACACCAAAATTAATCTACAGAGACAAAGAAGGTCAGTTTATATTGGTAAAGGAACAATCCAACAAGAAGAAATAATAATAATAAATAAGTAGCCCCAAATGTGGATGCAACTAATTTCATAAAAGAGGTGCTACTCAAATTGAAGCCCTAATACTACTGGGTGATGTGAACACAACTCTCTACCATTAATAGTATGTATTACACATGTTCCAAATTCAGGGCTAAATAAATAGAATGTTGAATCAGTAATGTGAATTTTAAAAATAATTCTGTAATTGTGGAGTACAAAAGAACTTTGTACTTTATCTTTTCAAATTTCTAGCTACTACTGATGAAGGAATTAAGCCAGGAAGAGGCAAGTAACTAGTTCAGGTCTTCAAATAAACAGTTCTCAAGCACACCTGTGATCCGGCAACTTGGGAGGCTCAGGCAGGAGGATCACAAGCTCAAAGGCAGCCTGGCCAACTTAGTGAGACCCTGTCTGAGAATTAAAAAAAAAAAAAAAAAAAAAAAACAAACATAGAAAGGACTAAGGATGTAGTTTAGTGGTAAAGTGTGCCTGAATTCAATCTTCAATACAAAAATAAATTTTTTCTCAAAAAGGAAAAGTTACTTTAGCAATTTTATGAGATCCATTATCCATTTTTTAAAAAAAAATACTTTAGTTGTAAATGGACACAATATCTTTTTATATATTTATTTCTATGTGGTGCTGAGGATCGAACCTAGTGCCTCACACATGCAAGGCAAGCACTCTACCTCTGGGCCCACAGCCACAGCCCATCCATTTATTATTTAGTAATGTTGGAACTTATGCAATTATTGCCTAAGGAAGGTGAGTAAGGTGAGTCTTTCACTGTGAAATGGAGGTTGTATCAGCATGGAAGACCTCACTGCAATCCTGACAAATTGACCCGTGTGATACTGCCCTAAGAACAACTTTGGGCAGAAGTTTTCGAGGAGAGTTGACACACTCTTTGGACAAGAGAATTTGGGAGGGGCCCATCACTTGAAAACTAAAATAATGCCTTGTCACAATGTATTTTTGAGCACTTTATTCACTTTTAGAAGGAAATTCAAAGAATATAAAGGCTTCTCCTTTGAAGAAAGCAAGCATTTTTGAGATATAATTTAGCTAGTTTCCTTCTTATATACAATCATCCCTTTGGGGGAACTAATCATTTATTTTGATAATAATTATTTACCACTTCATATTCTAGGCACAATAGTAGCCTCTAAAAGTATAAGGTTAAAAACTTGAACTGACAAAGGGAGATTAGTGGAGGAAAGGAACAAGGACTGGGAGGGGAAAGGGAGGGAGGAAGTGCTAGAGAGTGATATTGCCCAAATTATATTGTTATAGTCTGTGTATGTATCAATATATAACAACAAATCTCATCATTATGTACAACTGTAATGCACTAATAAAAATGATGTAGAAGAAGAAATTCTTGAATCCTAGGGGAATTTATTGATGGAGACATTGTTGTGTTAATATTATTGGTCCAAATTTTCCTTTGCCAGCTACATTTTTCAATAGAAAATGTATATGGTTCTTGTGTTTTGAATAAAAACAAAATTATAGATAGAAATCACAAAAAGCATTGTACTTCATTTGTTAATTTATTCAGAAAGTATTTATTAAGCACCTACCAGGTACCAGACACTGAGCTAGGCGCTTGGGATACATCAGTAAGTAAACATCCCACTTTTGCACAGATTACATTCTAGTGGGTGAGACTAACAGATACAACAATGAAAAATATTAAATAAGTAAATTACAGAGCTTGATAGAAGGTGATGAGTAGTGTTTGGAAAAAGAAGAGTCAGAAGACTTTCGTGTGGAAAGCAGATAAAAACAAAAGGTGTAATTTTAAATAATATAGTCAAGAGATGCCTCATTGTGAAGGTGATTTCCAAAAAAGTCTTAAATGTAGTTTTAATAAAAATCCAAGGATTAAGGTAATCATAGAATTTGATTTCTAAACTCACTTGACATCTGTTTTGTTATATATATTATGTAACATGTGATGGTAAAATCAAAGTCAAAAATACAGCTTCGGGTTCTTTTCTTTTCAATCAGCTTTGATTTAAACAAGGAAGGGTGTTGTCACTTTGTTTCCTATTCTCGAATTAGATAAAACAAAATTATTTCATAGGATTTTGGTTTTATCAATGGTAAGAATGAGGTTTGCTTTGAGAATTTCCTCTTATGAGCCCATAGCAACATGTAGCATAATTTCATATCCTTTATTTTTTCTTAGAAATACAAAAATCCATTTATATATTTCCATTTTTAGAAAGACTTAGATGAATTTGGGCAACAAATCAACTGATTTTTTTTTCCTTTGAATCATAAATTCAGATGAGAAAGCAGTTTTTTTTTCTTTTTTAACATTCTTCATCAAGTTCAGTATGACTTAAAAATAGAAGTATCTGTTTCTTCCAGATTGTGTTCCTGGTATCTGCATATGTAAGTCCCCAACTCACTGAGGACAGCTGTTCAGCCATGGCTGCCATCACACATTACCTGTATCTTTGCCAATTTAGCTGGATGCTCATTCAGGTTGGTACCTCAGTCCACTCCCTACTCCCTTCTACCTCGCCAATAAATCTGGAAAAAGTGGTCTTAGTATGACATTCTTTATACTGAAGTGGAAGTAATTCTATATAGTCATCACTACATTTACAGAATATGCTTTTAAAAAAAGGTCCCTAGAAACTGTCCAACATGGTGACTTTATAAAATGAGAGAAATCTAGTAGGAATTTGAAACAAGAGATTGGTAAAAGATGAGGCTTCCAATACAGTTCATGTAAGGCACGGTGTGAAATTTTAATTTTTTTTCTGGGGGAAATAATAGAATTCTATTAAGCAAGGAAGTGATGTGATACAATTTGGATTTTATAGGTATGTCCCTGTCTGTAATGGATGTCCCTGTTTGTTTTTTGTAGACAGGGAAGAATGGATGGTGGTAGTGAGCCAATTACATAGCATTGGCTGTAACCAAGAGAGAGAGAAAAAAGTAGTGTTTACTAGGGGAGAGCAGTAGAAATAAAGACAAATAACTAGATTGGATATTTAAAAAATAATGTATTGCTTTAGGATGTAGAGGTTGGTTATAAGGAATGCAAAAGGTGAAAACTGGGGTGTTTCCCAAGTTTCTGGCATGCATATGTGGCCTAAAACTATGATCACTGGAGAAGGAGAGATAGATGGCAAGTTTAGTTTGGGACAGCTAAGTGTGAAGTCCCTGTGAGACCCCTAATAGGATCTTTGGCAGGGGGAAATCTTTGAGGCCTCTATGGTGTACTATAGAAATGCACCAGAAAATAATTGACTTTGAGTTGGAAAATGGAGCCATTGCTCAGGAAGTGATCACCTGGGGAAACTATATAGAATGTGGCCAAAATATACCCCCACAAAGCCTCCTGAGGAACTTATTAATGTTTGGGGAAAGATCTAAACACTCCTTTTCTGACTGAGTTTGCAAGTTCTGTTATTCTATACTGGTTTGTTTGACAAAGAATTGGACCATGAATAGTTACTAATGTTGCTAATTAAATGTCTCATCTATAATGCTGACTTTGATAATGTTTTTTTGCACAATGGAGTTGTTAAATCATTTTGTGATAGAAATGGTCTCATGTGTTTCTCTCTGTGTATGTGAACTGTGTTATGTACACAGAAACATGTAGGCTCTTTTTTTATGCTTTTTGTCATTATCATTGAATAAGAAAGATGGTGGATTTGATTGTATAGCAATATTGAATTAATAATAAAAGCAGAAAGAAAGTAAAGTGGTATTATTATGAAAGAAAACCATCCAGGCTCCGGATGGGGTATTTTCCCAGGTATGGTGAGATAATGGGGGAGGCTGAAGGAGAAGAGAGCTGAACTATTTAGTTAAGAGAACTAATTAGAACAAGTGTTGCTTAGATCTGGGTTTGAATTCATTACCACTGTCCATGTAAGCTTAATCAAATTAATAACTCCCTGCAAGATTTGCTTCTAAATTTGCATATGGAGATAATAATTTCTAACTCATGGAATAAGTGTTTTACAGCTCTTTGAGCAGCTCTAATCATGGAAAATATGTAGTGTTCTCTAACACACCCTCAAAAAATAAGAAATAACAGTAAATCTAAATCATATAACATATAGTGTAAATATGAAATTAGAATAAATCTCCTAGATTTTTTCATCTCAGAATTCTTTAGGTTTTAACTAAGCAATACTTTAGTATGTGCCTAGTAGTTCTAATAAGTGCCCACATATCTTCTGGAATGGAGTTCCCAGGGTGTGCTGAAAGTCTTTGTCCATGTCCCTGACCTATTCAGAGTTTTTGATTAATGACTTGCATGAAAACACAGGAAACCACTTATCAGATTTACAAATGACACAGAGTTGAAAGGATAGTTAAAACAACAAGCTGCCTGCATTAAGATTATGGCAGAACAAACAGAGAGAAACAGTACTGATAGATGGAACACTGGAGAGGAAAAGATGTTATCTGATGAAATTTAATGTAAACAACTCAAGATTTTAATTTAACATAAAATCAGTAGCAATCAGATATGTGACCAGGACACCCCACAGACTTAGGCCCTTGGATAACAGTATGGAGGCAGCTGTGGCAAAATTTTAACCTACAGTGTCCAGTCTACTTGGCACACGGTAGCCCCTCTCATGTCATGTTTCAGCAAGATGGTCTGCCATCCAGTGAGAGACTCTTCTTTATTTCTTTCTTTCCTATAAGAAACTTCCAGGCAGCTAGAGATAGTTAATGGGGAAAGAATTGGGGGAGAGGTCTATAAACAGCGGAAGGTTTACTACAGGACAAAAAAGGTGGACTAGGTAACTAGGCAGAAACAGAACAAATGGGCCAAAATTAGGGAAACAATATCAGTGGAGTAAAGATGGGGATTGATGGGGAGGGAGGAGGGATGGCATAAAGGAAAAACAGGAGAAGGAATCTAACCTAACTTTCCTGTGTGCATGTATGAATATACAGTGAATCTCACCATCATGTACATCCACAACATACTAATTTTTTTAAAAAAATAACTGTCAATAAATAGCAGAAAGATCAGTAGAGGGAAGGGAATGAGGGATGAGGAGAGAAAAGAAAGGGGATATATTAAGGACTGAATTAGAGCAAATTATATGCCATGCATTTATAATTACATCACAGTGAATCCTAATGTTATATATAACTAATATGAACCAATAAAAAAATGAAAAAATGGGGAAACAAATTTTGATTCATCTTTAGCACTTTCATAGCCAATATAACTGTCAAAAGTTAGAAAGACTAGAAGTAGAGTGAATCCAGTCACTAAAATATATATGTTCAGAGAGATTACCAACTTTCCACATGTTTTAGATGCATTTCCTGCTTTAAGGGAGTTTTAAACAAGACAGTATAAAAACTTTCACCCAATTTAATGGCAGTTGGTATCTTCTTTATCTTTTCCCCTTAAATTCGATTGTGGCTGATGTACATTCAGTACATTAATTAGATTTCTGTATGGTTTATGGTTTAGGAAATCTATTTGAAGTGCCAGTGAAGTTTAATGTATTTCAGATGGTGCACCACATTTTTCATGGTTTGTGGTGTGGCCACAAGGGAAAATTCAATAACTTCTGTACTCTAGGCAGGTTACTTTTAATAAGTTATTTTGTGGTCAGAGGTTGTCACTTTACCAACCTATATTTTCCCATTTATAAAATGCTGTGTGCTAAAATCTTTCCTGGTTTCTTCTTTTCTTTTCTTTCCCCATCCTTTCCTTCCCTTCCTTTCCCCTCCCTCCCTAACTCCTTTGCTTCTCTCTCTCTCTCTCTCTCTCTCTCTCTCTCTCTCTCTCTCTCTCTCTCTGTCTCTCTCCATGTGTGTGTGTCTGTCTCTCTTTCTCTCTTTCTGTCCCAAGAATTGAACCCAGGGATGTTAAACCCCTGAGCCACATCCCCAGCCCTTTATATGTTTTGCTTTTGAGATAAGGACCTTGCGAGTTGCTGAGGCTGGCTTAGAAATTGGCGATCCTCCTGCCTGAGCCTCCCAAGCCACTGGGATTACAGGCGTGCACTATCATGCCCAACTTGGAATCCATTTTTAAAACATCATATAGGAGGCAAAACTATTGTCATTCTATGACCATTAGTCAAATTGAGTTGAAAAAATATTAACACTTTAATGATTTTACTTTATAGTTTTAGTCATATAGGAAGGAATCTGGTTCAATGCCTGTGAGTGCATAGTTTAATGATAAGTTAATCATTAATTTATAATATTTTGCCTAAGTTTGTCAGAATTATTAATGTTTATTTTTAATCTGCATTACACCTTCACATTTAGAATAAATGTATATAAGTGACCTTATTTTGAAAAAATATATATATTTTTTTTACTGAGCATTGAACCCAGGGGTGCTTAACCACTGAGCAACATCCCGAGCCCCCCCTTTTTAACATATATTTTATTTAGAGGCAGGATCTCAATGAATTGCTAAGTGCCTCCCTAATTTGCTAAGGCTGGCTTTGAACCCACAATTCTCTTGCCTCAGCCTCCCCAGCTGCCAGTGGGATTACAGACGTGCACCACTGAGCCTCATGTGAAAATTTATTTTATTTTTGTATAATATCTTTCTAATGCCGTTATAGTAAAGGTGGATTATATTTTAGAGTAGCTAAAGGAAAAAAAATAGGTAAACAATTTACATAACCTCTCTAAGCCTAGGTTTTCTTATCTGATAAAGTAGCTTGTAATAACAGTAGCTCTCTGAGAACTGTGGAAAGATTAAAGAATTCATACATGGAAACAGCTTACAATGCTGCCTGGCACAAACTAAACACTCTATTCTCAAATTATCAGTTAAGCTAATTGTTGGGCTAAAATATCAGAGACTTTGAAACTTCACTTTCACAATGTAATTTAGACCTTTTTTACAGAAGAGACTCAGTTTGACACAGTGGAAAGAAATCTGACTTTGAATGAAGCAGACACTAACCAGCTGCTAAGCCTTAGCAAGCTGGATAATCTCTAACCTCTTTATTAAAGTACATGCACGACTCATAGCAGGCTTCCTAACTGAGGGCCTTGATTCTTTTTCAAGCTTCCATTTTCTCTAACAGAAAAGCATACAGTGCACAGTAGGAATCTAGTAACAAAATATTTTGCTTATTTTGTTTTAAAGCAAGCAACTCCCAAATGCACGTTTTGGCCATGGAAGTTGAGCTATCCTTCTGTTTGCCCTTCATATAAGACCGCTCAGTGGAATTATCAAAATCATTTTCCACTTCCTTAAGACCACAGGGTCATGTTTACTTTAAGAAAGACTGACGGGCCGGGGTTGTGGCTCAGTGGTGGAGTGCTTGCCTGGCATGTGTGGGGCACTGGGTTCGATTCTCGCACCACATATAAATGAATGAATAAAATAAATATCCATCAACAACTAAAGAAGAAAAAAAGAAAAGAAAAAGAAAGATTGACAGTGAGAGTTTTAAAATCTTGTACCATCTTTATTTCACTAGTTGTTTTCTTTTCATTACTTTTTTTCTGTTTTAATT